TTTTAAAAATATACCTCTGGTGTGAGAGTTGCGGGTCTTTTGCCCAGGACTTCGGCAATAAATTCCCGTCCTTTCGTTTGAACTACATGGCCACATTTTGAAAAATAAAGGGCGTGCTCTCTCCATGGTTCATCAGTTTCAGCCCAATCTTTCAAGGCGCCTCCGCACTGGAAACAGATAGTTTTGTCACCAAGACCTGTAACATACAAAAGAAAGTAAAGATGAGACAACTGGATGAGACATATTAGTCAACTAGGCAAAACCAATTAACAAATTAGAAGAAGAAAATAATATTGAACTCACCAGTGTAGAAGAATCCAGCCTCCGCAAGTTCTTGCGGTCTCAACTTGAGGCCTATTGGCCAACTCTCATAGGATTCTATCCGTGCATCTGAGGTTACATATGCAGGATGTGCAGGGTTATACCTCTTTTGAATTCCTAATTTTTCAAGGGAAGGTATAACAGGACAGTTGTCCGACTTCTTAATATTGTATATACCACACTCATCATAATCACCACGTTCCACAGGAGGGAGAGGAGGGGGATTGGAAGGGTCCACAGGGATATTTCCAGTTTCCATGTGGTTCAAAAAGCTGCAATTTTTTGACCACTTCTTGTGTTCTTCTATGGGATCATCTCCCTCTTCCCAACGCCCAACTTCAACATTGCAAAATGCACATCGTACAATGTCATCACTCTTGGTGTACCAGAAGCCAGCTGCTGCCAGCTGCCTCACATCCATGGACTCTGTTGGGAAGCCAGCAAATGATTCCAAACGCTCCTTCTCACTTCTATAGTCGTGGGATCTTGTTGAAAGAAGTGATGTCGGTCTATGTTGGGGAGAAGGGTGACGTCCAATATCTGGCAGTAAATTTACTACTCCTATTACCCCTCCCCATTTTGGATTTGGCGGCATCTGGAACAAAATAAAGGCATTGGTAAGACAACTGTTATAATGTACAGGACAGTCAACTCAATTATAAAAGCACAATGTGACGAATGAAAGTGAGGTCAGAGAAAGTGATATCACAACACACACAAGAACAAATAAATTCTTCAGAGCCTGGGACTTTGCCACACAAACCTAAAACCAAGACTACGAAACGACAGGAGTTGCTGAAATTACCATCCCAGCCAGAAATTGCGTCTAAATGGGATATAGTCTATTTTCAGACCACATAGATGTCTACATAGACATCTAAATGGTCTGAAAATAGACATATACTCCCTTTAGACACATTTTAGAGGCAGCGTTTCTGGCTGGGATGTTTCATGCCGGGTTTACAATGGAGTTTTAGAAGGAACGGAATGAAATCTCGGAATAGAACGAAATTATGGGAATCCATTCTGATGGATAGCGCCGGAACAGAATGAAAGCGGCGACCAACGAACGAGAGCGCGCCTAAACACCCCTTCATTCCGTGTCGAAATATTTCTGAATCTATAGACTTACAATTTGTTTTTTGATTGATCGCAAACTTACAAGTTCGTGTTGATGAAGAGAGCAGTCCGGTCGACAAACCTCCCTTGACAAATGCGACATGTTCGCTGTATGATCTACATCTAGCTAGCTCAGCAAAAGTCCAGTTGAGGAGGAAGCCACAAACGAGGAAAGGGGTAGAATGTACACAAAAAAAGGGGTTTTGGGGTTAGGAACGAACGAAAACGTTGGAAAGTTGGTTAAGAAATTATTGTTTAACAGTTGTTGAAAATAAATAACTTTTGAAATAACAAAAGGAAATTGTCATGGTTTTTTGAAACCTGGCTTTCCTTTCCTATTTATCTAAATAGGTAATGGGATAATTAATATAGTAACGATGGGAGTGGTAGTCCGCTGTCCGATTGCAAGTCAAAGCGTGATGCGTGATTTGGAAATGATATCGTCGAGTGACAATTATTTGCACATTCCACAAACATAAAGTGCCAACCGAAGCCTCCCGCTTCGAAAATAATGATCTTACCACAAAATCTTGGTAATCTCGCGCACGGAGTCCTGCTCCTTGACTTCTAGCGCGAGACCGATCTTCCAAAAAACGGCCAACCTAGGAAAATTGAAATAGTAAGCTGAAATTTGGTGGACTTGTGCATTGAAGTGTGTAGATCACGAATCCGTCGAGTCCCACCTTGGGACTGGTGGTGGAAACCCGGTATTGGACACGAAAGGGCGTAAGTGCAACATTGTACAAAATCGATGATATCACATGTCGTGTTCAACCTAGAAAGCTGCAAAAAGCGTCAAAATGACCGGGAAGAACTGAGGATCAAATCTATACTCGGTTTGTCGACAAGAATGACCTACGCCTAGCCTAAAATAAACAATATTTGAGAAAAAAGTGCGTACCGGTATTGTGCCATGGCACTCCTCAGGTCGTAGCAATTATGGCAGAAGAGTACCGTAAAAATTGTTCATTACAAAGTTGTGCGCCCATTCGTCACCTTGATGTCGATGTTTTTATTTCACGGGGGACTTGAACCATTGCAGAGATATCAAGCCTAAACCAGAACGATGCAGGACCCTCGGAGCGCGCTCCCGCCTCCGCTACGGCCCGCCGCCCCCCTCCACCGCGCAGCGCTCTCTCTCTCTCCCCCCCTGCACGCAGCGGGTGAGACAGAGACAGCGCATAGCCCGCTCGGCCGGCCCGCCCGCCAACAGCGACATTTATAATGTTAAATATTTAACGTTTAGAAAGCAGCAATGGAAATAATTTTTAGTGGAATGTATGCGTCTCGGATCGTACTACAACATACCTGAAATTCAAAATTAGATGTGGCAGTTGAGGGCAGACCGGCGCAGAAAACCGGCCCTGTGTCCATGTTACTTTTAACGGCTTTCGTGGGTGAACGGTTTAACAAATGCTTTGTCTGACAAGTACGTTTGAATCAGTACACTGCATATTTTTCAACACTGCATGCACAGGCGCAGATAAGTTTCATTGTCTCCGTCAAAATGTAATGTAGGTGTGATCGTGAGATTTCATGAAACGTTAAAACTTCGTTTCAGCCCCTCTATGCAGGACAGGCGAGCTGCCCGACAAAACAGTCAAAAGGAAAAATAAAGAGACGAATCTTCTCTGTTACGTCCAATTTGTTTGAGTGCTGGGACTCAAGTGGTTTTAGTGGCAGAGGGAAATAACCAGCCCAGCGGCGCGCTCCACATGCTCCAGGTAGGGGTGCGCGGCGGGTATTGAACGTCCGCACAGGGGGTAGGTGACGCCTGGGGATACAGGAGAGCGACTTGCACGATAGAAGAACATGTGCCCGACAACTTTCATCCTGTAAGTTTTTTCATAATAGCTGATCATTTTTCTTCCATAAAAGTTTCTGGTCGATGTGTTGGATTATTGGCAATAAGCAACAATTACTCTTACTGTGCTGTCATTCGAAATGACCGAAGAAAATGAATCATTTATGGGGATAAAAGTTGTCGGGCACATGTTCTTCTATCGTGCAAGTCGCTCTCCTGTATCCCCAGGCGTCACCTACCCCCTGTGCGGACGTTCAATACCCGCCGCGCACCCCTACCTGGAGCATGTGGAGCGCGCCGCTGGGCTGGTTATTTCCCTCTGCCACTAAAACCACTTGAGTCCCAGCACTCAAACAAATTGGACGTAACAGAGAAGATTCGTCTCTTTATTTTTCCTTTTGACTGTTTTGTCGGGCAGCTCGCCTGTCCTGCATAGAGGGGCTGAAACGAAGTTTTAACGTTTCATGAAATCTCACGATCACACCTACATTACATTTTGACGGAGACAATGAAACTTATCTGCGCCTGTGCATGCAGTGTTGAAAAATATGCAGTGTACTGATTCAAACGTACTTGTCAGACAAAGCATTTGTTAAACCGTTCACCCACGAAAGCCGTTAAAAGTAACATGGACACAGGGCCGGTTTTCTGCGCCGGTCTGCCCTCAACTGCCACATCTAATTTTGAATTTCAGGTATGTTGTAGTACGATCCGAGACGCATACATTCCACTAAAAATTATTTCCATTGCTGCTTTCTAAACGTTAAATATTTAACATTATAAATGTCGCTGTTGGCGGGCGGGCCGGCCGAGCGGGCTATGCGCTGTCTCTGTCTCACCCGCTGCGTGCAGGGGGGGAGAGAGAGAGAGCGCTGCGCGGTGGAGGGGGGCGGCGGGCCGTAGCGGAGGCGGGAGCGCGCTCCGAGGGTCCTGCATCGTTCTGGTTTAGGCTTGATATCTCTGCAATGGTTCAAGTCCCCCGTGAAATAAAAACATCGACATCAAGGTGACGAATGGGCGCACAACTTTGCAATGAACAATTTTTACGGTACTCTTCTGCCATAATTGCTACGACCTGAGGAGTGCCATGGCACAATACCGGTACGCACTTTTTTCTCAAATATTGTTTATTTTAGGCTAGGCGTAGGTCATTCTTGTCGACAAACCGAGTATAGATTTGATCCTCAGTTCTTCCCGGTCATTTTCACGCTTTTTGCAGCTTTCTAGGTTGAACACGACATGTGATATCATCGATTTTGTACAATGTTGCACTTACGCCCTTTCGTGTCCAATACCGGGTTTCCACCACCAGTCCCAAGGTGGGACTCGACGGATTCGTGATCTACACACTTCAATGCACAAGTCCACCAAATTTCAGCTTACTATTTCAATTTTCCTAGGTTGGGAAGATCGGTCCCGGGCTATTCCTGTGCAGCAGTGCTGCCAGACCGGAGCCTGGGCAAACCGCCGCTAGAGGGTAGCCTATCCGCCCCAATCCGCCGCCCTCTCGATCCGCCCA